GGTTGTGCGCTGTGGAGTCAGTATAGGGTTTCTGAGGCTATATATCTTTACAGGAGCAGGAAGCCTTATTTTTCTCCTGTGGAACAGCTGGTAGTTTTGAACTACTTACCTTGAGGTTAGCAGCCCAACTCATAACCACTATGCTACCAGAGTCAAGCTATAGACCGGAACAATATTCATAGTATATATCTATATCTATCTATCTCTATCTATCTATCTATCTATCTATCTATCTATCTATCTATCTATCTATCTATCTATCTAATCTGTCTATCTATCTATCTATCTATCTATCTATCTATCTATCTATCTATCTATACAGTCAACCCAATTTTATAAATTTCAAGAGTTGCCATATCTCTTTGTATATATATGTATATATATATTTGTTGTTGTTAAGTGCCGTTGAGTCAGTTCCGACCCATAGTGACCCTGTACAGTGTTTCCGAGGGTATAAATCTTTACGGGAGTAGAAAGCCTCATCTTTCTCCCGCGGAGTGGCTGGTAGTTTTGAACCGCTGACCTTAAGGTTCACAGCCTGATTCGTAACCACTATGCTACCAGACAAAGAGCTTAATATAGAATATATATAATAAATTAGTAATAATAAAGATAAACAACTCAATAAAAATGGGCAAAATTTTTGTTGTTGTCAGGTGCCATTGAGTCGGAACCGACTCATAGCGACCCCATGCACAGCAGAACGAAACAGTGTTCGATCCTTGGCCAACCTCACTACCGCTGCCACATTTGAGTCCATCAATGATGCCACCTGGCTGATCCATCTCTTTGGGGGTCTTCCTCTTTTTCTCTGACCCTCCACCCTACCTAGCATGACATCCTTCTCCAACGATTGTTTCCTCCGGAGAATATGTCCAAAGTATGAGAGACGAAGCTTAGCCATCCTGGCCTCCAAGGATCACTCTGGCTGCACTTCTTCCAAAACAGATCTATTGGTTCTTTTGGCAGTCCATGGCACTTTCAGTATTCTCCTCTAACACCACAACTCAAAGGCATCAATTCTTCTACGATCCTCCTTATTCACTGTCCAGCTTTCGCATCCATATGAGGCTATTGAAAACACAATGGCCTGGGTCAGGTGCACCCTAGTCCTCAAGCTGACATCTCTGCTCTTCAACACTTTAAAAAGTTCCTGTGCAGCAGATTTGCCCTGTGCAATACATCGTCTGATCTCTTGACTGCTACTTCCGCAAGTGTTGATAGTTGATCCAAGAAGAATGAAGTCCTTGAGAACTTCAATCTTTTCTCCATTGATAAGAATGTTGTTTATTGGTCCAGTGGTGAGGATTTTTGTTTTTTTAGATGTAATCCATATCGAAGGCTTGCTCTTTAATCTTCATAAGCAAATGTTTCAAGTCCTCTTCACTTTCAGCGATCAAGGTTGTATCATCTGCATATCGCAGGTTGTTAATGAAGTCTTCCTCCAATCCTGATGCCACGTTTTTCTTCATAGAACCCAGCCTCTCGTATTATTTGCTCAGCATACAGGTTGAATAAGTTGTATGGTGAAAGAATACAACCCTGTCTCACACCTTTCCCAATTTAAAAATTCTTAAAATAACATATTTAACAAAACAACTAACTACAAGGCTGATGGTTCAAACCTACCAGCCATTCCTCAGAAACCCTATATAGGGTCAGTGTGAGTCGGAACTGATGCCACACACTTAACAACATAGAACAACTGGCAATACTGAGTAATCATGAGGATATGGAGCAACTGAGACTTTGATAGATTATTGGTCTGAATGTAAAATGGCACAACCACTTTGAAAAATTGAAAGCATCTTAAAACCTATACTACCTAGCACTTCTACTTCTAGGTATTTTATCCCATAGCATTGAAAATACCTACAGTAAGATTTTTCCAAGACTGTTCATAACAGCTTTATTTGTAATAACTATAGCCTGGAAATCTAAATGTTTCTAATAGGAAAATAGATAAATTGTATATATACATTTAGTGGAGCACTCTGTAATAAGAAGCAGTAAATTATGGCAATTGCTAGGTGCTGACGTGTTAGTTTTGACTCATAGCAACCCTATAGTGCGACAGAATGAAATGCTGCCCATCCTGCACCATCCTATAATTTATGCTTGAACCCTTGGTTGCTGTCTCTGTGCCAGTCCATTTCGTTTGGGGTCTTCCTCTTTTTCGCTGATGACCCTTCACTTACTAAGCGTGATGTCCTTCTACAGTGACTGGTTCTTCCTGATAATATGCCTGAAGTATGAAAAACGAAGTCTCACCATCTGGCTTCTAAGAAGCACTCTGACTGTACTACTTCTAACACAGAAATGTTTGTTTTTCTGGCATTCCATGGTACCTTCAGTATTCTTCTCCAACACCACAACTCAAATGCAATAATTCTTCTGTAGTCTTAGTCTTTTTTTATTCATTGTACAGCTTTCACATAAGTATATTATTGTTGTTGTTAGGTGCCCTTGAGTCAATTTTGATTGAAAACGACCCTGTATCAGGTTTCTGAGATTTTAATTGGTTGTGGGAGCAGAAAATGTCATCTTTTTCATGTGGAGTAGATGATGGCCTTGAACTCCAACCTTGTGGTTTGCAGTCCAATGCTTACCTTTTGAAAATGCCGTAGCTTGCGTGAGGTGCATCTTAGTCCTCAAACTGGTGTCTTTGCTCTTGAACATTTTACCTGAGGTCTTGTGCAGCAAATTCGCCTAATGCAATATGTTGTTTGATTTCTTGGCTGCTGCTTTCAACTTTTTGTGTCATGACAAGCAGTGGATAACTTTACAAAGAGTGGGCATTACAGAATATTTAACTGTGCTCATCAGGAACCTACCTGTATATAGATGAAGACGCAATTATTTGAACAACTGTATGCTTAATGGTTTAAAACCAGGAAAGATGTGCACCAGGGTTTTATTCTTTTGCCATACTCATTCATTCTGAATGTTGAGCAAATAATCTGAGAAGCTGGATCATATGAAGAAAAATGTACACCCAGGATTGGAGGAAGATTCAATTAACAACTTGAGATATACAGATGATACAACCTTGCTTGCTGGAAGCGAAGAGAACTCAAAATACTTACTGATGAAAATCAAAAGCTACAGCCTTCAGTATGGAGTGCACCTCAACATAAAGAAAGCAAAAAATTCTCACAACTGGATCAATAAATTGTTGTTGTTAGGTGCCATCGACTCGGTACTGACTCATAGAGACCCTATTCACAACCTAAGGAAACACTGCCTGGTCCTCGGAAGCCTCACAATTGTTGCCGTGCTTCAGCCCATTGATGCTTTCACTATGCCAGTCCATCTCACTGGGGTCCTTCTCTCTTTCTTTGCCCCTCCTCCTTACCAAACATGATATCCCTCTCCAGTGATTGGTCCCTCCTGACATTATGTCCCAAGTATGGTAGACGAAGTTTGGCCATCTGGCCTCCAAGGAGCACTCTGGCTGCACTTCTTCCAGCACAGATCTGTTGGTTCTTTTGGCAGCCCATGGCACTTTCAATATTCTCCTCCAACACCATAACTCAAATGCATCAATTCTTCTATAGTCTTTCTTATTCACTGTCCAGCTTTCGCATGCTTATGGGTTATTGAAAATACCATGGCTTGTCAGACACACCTTAGTCCTCATGCTGACATCTTTGCTCTTCAACACTTTAAAAAGGTCTTGTGCTGCAGATTTGTCTAATGCAATACGTCGTTTGATTTCTTGACTGCTGCTTCTTATGACTGTTGATGGTTGATCCAAGAAGAATGAATTACATCATGATAAATGGAGAAAGATTGATGTTGTCAAAGACTACATTTTGCTTGGATTTATAATAACCTATGGCAATAGCATGTATAAATATCATAAACATTATATTATGTGAAAAAAACAACCCAGATACATACATATAAAATATTTACTGTATAATGTCATTTATATGAAACCTAAGAACAAGCAAAACTAATCCAGAGATCATAGAAGTCATAAAGTAATTACCTCTGAGGGAGAGATTTTGGAAATGTACTACAAGTTGTTTGAGGTACTGGTTGTAGGAATATGTGCAGTTAACAAAACTGGTAAACCTAAAACTTAAGTACTGTGCTTTTTATTATATGTAAATTATGCCTCAGTAAAAAAATTATCAAGACATTGTTGCTACTGTTAAAGTCTTCATATCTTGATCTTTGTTTTTCCTTTTTTTTGCTGACTTGATTTTAACCTTTGTGTTAGTAATATGTAGCTCAGAAGAAAATTTTTGTGAATGGGAGATATGCAATAAATATTTGGAACATACTTTTATGGAGTATCAGGGAGTCAAATATAAGAGATTTTTCTAATGCTTGATTTAGTAGCTACTTAACCATGCTACTTAACCATGTGTGCATTTATATAGCATCAGTTTATTTTACATTAAAATTAAAAAAATTTTATAGCTCTCGCCTTTGGACACCTGGTGTGGCACTGTACTGTACTTTGAACCACAAGGTTGGCAGTTCAAACCCACAACATGCTCCTCAGATACCCTATACAGGGTCACTGTGACATAAGTAGTGCATTCTTAAGTGCTCTAAGGCTGGTAATTTGTTACTGCACATGAACAATTCTGGACCTAAAAAAAGGGAGAACATCATGATAGCATATCTCTTAATGATGTATTTCATTTGAACCGGCTGGATGACACTAAACAGCAGCACCCTTAGAGAGGAGTCCTGGTGTGGCGCTCTAGGGTAAACATTGGACTGCTAACTGCAAGGTCGGTGGTTCAAACCCACTAGTTTCTCCTCAGAAATCCTACACAGGGTAGCTACGAATTGGAACGGACTCAACAGCACTTAACAACAACAACAACCTTAGAAGAATAAAAAGATGCCTAATAAAACATGGAGTATTATTGTCTTCAAATTTGACACCAAGATTTTTAACATTTGAAATTAGGTCCTGGTGACCTTTTAATAATTGAAATATTGTCTCTCTCTCTCTTTTTTTTTTCTCGATAAATTAGGAACCCATGAAATCCAGAGCACCACAGCTACATTTGGAATTCAGATTCTACAAGCAATTAGGATCTGGTGGTAAGATCTTATATTAAATTTGGAATAAAATGGATTTTCATGACAACATCTCTTGTTTCAAGGGATAATATTTAAAATATGTTAAGTAGAATCATTTTTTAAGGCTTTGCTAGATATTTTCTTTCTGGAGTCTTTTACTTTAAATAATATTTTTAGAACTTCTTATTTATGTTAATGCTAATGTGAGTGAGAAGGAGCCCTGGTGTCACTGTAGGATAAGCACTGGACTGCAAACCATGTGTTCAGCTGTTCAAACCTGCCTACTTCTCTGTGGGAGAAAGATGAGACTTTCTGTTCCCATAAAGATTTACAGCCTTGGAAACCCTATCTATACCTAACCCTATGAGTTGGAACCTACTTGATGGCACTTAACAATAGCAACAACAGTGTAACTATAGGTGAAACATTTTGAAAAAAAATGAAGATGATAAAATTTATATGGCTTTCATTTCTTTTTGCTTTTTGGCAATATTATTAATTACTGAAATGACTTCTGGTATTGTGGTAGGTTGAAAATGCCCTTCCCTCCCCCAGTAAAGTATAATCAGTGGATCCTGTTTTATAATCAGTGAATCCTGTAATTGTTAGTTTATGGCAAAGACTTTACAGATATCATTAAGAAAAGGATATTGATATAGAGAGATTATTCTGGATTATGCAGGTAGACCCTAATTTCAGTTACAATAACTGTATAAGAGAGAGTCAGAAGGCGAGTTTATACACATTGATGTTGTTCTTGTTAAGAGCTGTTGAGTCGTTTCCAACTAATAGCAACCCTGTATAGGATTTCTGAGGAGCCAGTAATGAGTTTGAACCATCAACTTTACTGTTCAAACTGACCTTGAAGTGCAGCACATTAACCCACAGCGCCACACCAGGACTCTACTACACACACTGATAGAAGAAAGTGATGTAACCGTGGAGGAAGAGATTTAGAGTGATTCAGCCATAAGCCAAGGAATGATGATAATCACAAGAAGCTGGAAGAGACATGGAACAGTAATCTCTCTTAGAGTCTCTAGTGGGAGTGTGACCTTGATTACACCCAGTGAGAGTGATTAGACTTCTGGCATCCAAAACTGATAAAATAAAATTTCTATTGTTTTAAACCTCCAGGTTTGTAGGAAACTAAGGTATTTTCACATAAAATCTAAATCTGAGTGAGAATGGCTATCTTACACTAATTGAGAAATCTAATGTAAAATATTTCTGTTGTATGCTGCATTTCCTGTGTTTTAAAGCTTTTTAAAAATCTTTCTCTTTTTTTTTATGCCTTCTACTATCTGTAATGATTGATTTTTTTTATCCAGGTGAAAGTATTTTGTTTTTGCAGGATTTTTTAAGTATCTTTTAATACATCTTTTTATAAGCATGCAGTTGTACACTCTTAGTTGTAGTTAAGTGCTGTCATTTAGTTCATAGAGAACCTGCATAGCGTTTCTGAGGTTTTAAATCCTCAAGGGAACAGAAAGCCTCATCTTTCTCCTTCAGACTCTCTTATTAAGACTGTGTATTTTTTAATGTTACTGATTTTGCTTTTTTTTTTTCCAATGAGTGATCAATAGTTTGAATTCTGTACTAATGAATTTATCCTTGTAAACTTCCAGTAGTGTATACTTACGTCTTCTGCAGACAGGCCTCAGAGATCTATCAAGATTAACATTGGTAATTTGTTACTGTGCATGAACAATTCTGGACCTAAAAATGGGGAAAACATCATGATAGCATATATCTTAATATATTTAATTAATGTGCACCTGTAAGCAACATAAATATTTCAAGATCTTTAAAGGAAGATTATGGCACAAACTACTACCGTCTTTAAAAGTGTGAGACTTCCTACTTATGTTTTGTTTTCTGAGTTTAAAAAAAAACAACAGCAAGCAACCAAACCAAACCCACTGTCATTGAGTCGATTTCGACTTATAGCAACTCTATGCAGTGTTTCTGAAACTACATTTTTACAGAAGCAGGCAGCCTTGAAATGCTGAAATAGAAAAGGAAGTATGTAGGGAAATTAATTTTAGAAGTGAGATTGTATTTTCCAATGATATGTGAATTTTGTTTTTAATCTTGAACTTTCCTTGGTGAAAAATAGACATGTCTTGAAAATTTGGAATGCTAATTAATGAGCATTTCTGAAAATTAATGATTTTAGTAATTATCAGAACTTTCATGAATTTGTGGTAGAAATGTTTTTATAGTAGTCTTAAACAAAAATCATTTTTATAATAGTTGGAATTGAGAGTCAGGGTGGGGAAAGTAAATGTAAATTTGTAGTTGTAAATTTCCTGAATATAAGAACAAATACATATTGAGCTTGCCTTTGCCCATGAGTTGAATTGTACTACAAGATAGCTGAATAATTTGATCAATAGACAGAGGACATTTTTAACTACCTCATTACTCTTCCTTTTGTGACTTATTTATGAGCCTCTTGCTTTTCTTTTAGCTTCTTTTACTTCCTCACCTTAACTACGGGAAAAAATCTGTTCCTTGTAGTTTACCTACTGTACTTATGTTGCTGTAGTGTTTTTGTTTTGTTTTGTTTTTCCTGAGGTTGCTCTCCCCTCCCTAACATACCCAATGACTTTGTTAGTTGCAATTTTTCCAAACTGGTATGGAAATTTGGAGTCCTGGTGTGGCGCTGTGGGTTAATCTGATAGACTGCATATTCGATTTGAACCTCAAGGTTGGTGGTTCAAGCTAACCAGTCGTTCCTTCGAAACCCTATATAGGGTTTCTGTGGTCAGAACTGACTCAACGGCACTTACCAAGAACAACAATATGGAAATTTAATTTAATCTAATTTGTTTGCTCAGTGTTAGAAAATTTTTCATACTTTCCTGGAATATGAACTTCTGGATTGGTCTTTATAGTGCTTACTTTACATTGTTGATTACAAAATATATATCTTTTGATTTTATACTTAAGTAACATGAAATTTGTGTTTGAGATATTTAATAATTATTTAAGAAGTTACTTTACTGCATTTAATAATTTGCAAAACAATATGGATTCCAAAAGATCATTGAGAGTTAGACTACCTTTTTTTTAACCTCACAAAAAAATTTAATGACTCATATTTATTGTAAAACTATGTTGAGTGATAAAGCTTAGATATTTTCAATAAAATTGGAGATGAAATATTTAATTCGTTCAGTGAAATGTAATACTATTTATGGAATTTCAGCCATGTTGGATGAGGTCAAGCTACCTAACTTGAGACATTTTGAAATCACAATAAAAAAATTAAAAATGTTGAAAATTGGAGCATTTCTGTTTTTTTCCCTTTAGTGACCTTTTTTACTGTGTTATTTTGAGAACCCAAGGTTGTATTATTTATTTAGTTTGATTGAGAGTGCCATGTTAGGTCTTTGCACGTTTCATTATAATATTTGACTTTGTCTTCTCCAGTTGCCCTTTTCTGTTCACCTCTTTTACCATCTTGATTCTTATATTTGTTTTAGAATGTCTTTGTTGGAGAGCAAGTTTCAGAGTCTTTTCCTTCTTTTTTGTCTTCTTAATAACTTTTTGCTTTCTCTCCATATAATGTCATCCCACAACTCCTCTGATCTTTAGTCATTAGTGTCTAATGCATGAAATCTGTTCTTGAAATGATCTCTAAATTCAGGTGGAAATTGTTTAAATTTTCTTCAGCTTCATCCTGAATTTACACTGAATAATTTGTGGTCTGTTTCAAGACTGTTCCTGGCCTTGTTTTGACTTTTTCACCATTTCTTCCCACAGATGTAGTTAGTATTCCATCTGGTGATTCAGTATATAGTCAGTCATCTTTTAGGTTGTCTTAAAAAGGTATTTGCAATGCAGAATTCATTGGTCTTGCAAAATTCTATCATGTGATCTCCAGCATTGTTTGTCACGAAGGCCACGCTTAGTGATCCTTCCACTTTGTTTTCAACCTGTGCATTCCAGTCACCAGTAATGATTGCATGTTTGATCAATTTCAGACTGAAAAAGTTGGTAGAATTCTCAATTTCATCAACACTGCCTTTAGTGTTTGGTGCACAAATTTGAGTAATAGTGGTGTTAACTGGTCTTCCTTGTAAACATGTGTATATTGTCCTATCATAGACAGCACTGTACTTAAGAGTGAATCTTGAAATGTTCTTTTTGATGGTGAACACTGTTTCTCCTCATTTTTTGTTGTTCTTTGTTGTTGTTGTCAGGTGCCATTGAGTCGGAACCGACTCATAGTGACCCCATGCACAGCAGAATGAAACAATGTCCGATCCTGGGCCAACCTCACTACCGCTGCCACACTTGAGTCCATCAATGATGCCACTTGGCCAATGCATCTTGTTAGAGGTCTTCCTCTTTTTCTCTGACCCTCCACCTTACCCAGCATGACATCCTTCTCCAATGATTGTTTCCTCCGGACAATATGTTCAAAATGATTTCGTTGTTCTAGCATGGGATATCAAAGAGATTGTCCAATGATTTCCGCATTTCGTTGGGTCACCACTCTTTGCATTGGGCACAAATACAAATCTCTTCCAATCAGTCGGCCAGATAGTTGTCTTCCAAATTTTTTTATAATACATGAGTAAGTGCCTCCTGTGCTACCTCACTTTCTTGAAAGATTTCAATTTTTATTCCGTCAATTCGTGGTGCCTTGTTCTTTGTCAGTTACTTCAGTGTACCTTGGACTTCCTCCTTCAGTATCACTGGCTCTTGATCATATGCTACCTCTTGAAACAGGTGAACATTAACAATTTCCTTTTGGTACAGTGCCTCTGTGTATTCCTTCCATCTTTTCTTGATGCTTTCTGCATCGTTCAATAATTTGCCTTGTGAATCTTTCATTAATGAAAGTCAAGGCTTGAATTTTTTCTTCAGTGTTCTTCTTTTTGGTTATCTGATTCCAGATCTTTGCACATTTTGTTTTAATATTTGGCTTTGTCTTCTTGAGCTGATCTTTGAAATTTTCTGTTCAGCTCTTGGACCTCCTTATTGATTCCACTTGCTTTACCAGAGCA